CCAACTCACCAGATACTCCCAACTCTTCCTGCCCGGACCAGGGCTCGCTCCGGACCGGCGAGACCCAGCGTTGGAGCGGCCGCGTCCCGTCTCGCCGGTCTTCCTGCGGCCGCCCGCCGGGCCCTGCCAGCGGGCAACGTGGCCCTTCCCCGGGAGGGCGGGGCGGGGCTCCCACAGCCCCCTCTGTTGGTCCCCGCCCTACCACGGGTGAGTCCGTGCTGGCCCCTCCTTCCGGGGCCTGCCTCTTCTGCTGACTTCCTGATCACCAGTCAAGACCTCAACAGCTGGTTTCCCCGAATCTCCCAACTTCGAAAGGCAGTGGTAGAAGAGATGCTTGTTTGGGGCCCTTTCCCTAGTCACAACTCTCAGTGTAGATGCGGATCCCACTCACACCCTCAGCCTTGTCCAGTACAGACTACTTTCCCCAAGAGTGTCCCTTAATCCAGCCCATCCCATGAGTCTAGAGCTATACCGACTTTGAGGGGTGCGGACTTGGTGGAGTAGAGCGTTCATCAAAACCAACCCGAAGAGCCTGGGAACTACTGCCTATACCCAAACCAGGAAAGCTGTAGAGTTCGAGCTGGAGAAAGACGAGGGGTAAGTGCAGTGCGTGCAAGCAACAAGTACTAGGTGCAAAAAGGGAAGCCGGGGAGGAAACACCTGCTGTCCCAAGGCAAGCCAGAGCCAGTCATTTTGATTCTTTCTGGTTTTTTTTTTTCTTCTGTGGGTGGGGAAATCAGAGATAGGCCTGTGCAGTGTAAGACCTAAGCCCAAAGGAGGGAAGGAATCAATCAGAGGCTTTTGTAGTAATTTTAAAAGTGACAGGGGGGGGAGGGGAGGATGGATGGATGGATTCCTTAGTGTTTTAAAGTAAAAGAAACTTGGAGGGAGTTTGAGGAGGGCGGAGACAAGCACTCATCAGAACCCCGGGGGACCTACGTGCTCAGCAAAGAATGCCTCAGTCAGAGCCTCAAGCAGTCTGAGAAAGGGGAGGGGAAAAGCAAACCAGGAACTTCAGGGCCTGACCTAGGTGTCAGCAGTGGCCCTGGAGCACCTTCTGAGGTCTGAGTCCTGGGTAATGGACCACTCAGAGCAAGCCAGATTTCAAGGGCTGGGCCATTTTGAAATTCAGAGAGGTATCTGGGAATCCCTACTGTCCACTCACCTCTACCACAACCTCACCCTCCCACAACCTGTTGTACCTGACCCTTCGCATAACCCTGGGCTCCCACCACCCATCTCTTACACCTAAGACTGGGGAGCAGGTAACCACAGGCTGCTCAGTGAGTGACTCTACAGAGACCGCTGTCCGGGACTCTTAGGGCTCCTTAGGCAGGCGAGGAGTTAAAATTCTAAGGAGTCACTAGGCATAGAGTCACCCTTCCCTTCAAGTCTGTTCTCCTGACCTCTCTGTACACTCTCCCATCATCATCCCCATTCTACAGACAAGTCTGAGGCTTTGTGTTAAGTATACATTTTCTGTCAAGTCATAAGTCCTAGCCAGATTTTAGATTTAGGCATTCCAGCTTCCAAAACTAGCACCCACGTGTCCTTGAGAACTGCTGGGATGGCTCTGTGCCCATGTGACAGGAACACGGTGGGACAGCAGAGAAATCTTGATAGCAGCAGTTGGAATCCTGCCCTGAAGTACAGGAAAGGGCTGACCCGCCAGTGGAGTGGACTGGGTGTGGGTGTGATGAGTGAATGCCCACCATTTCCAGTTTAGCTGACTGCAAAGACTGTGACAGGAAACTCAAGCCCATGCATGTGCCAAGAGAGTGCCACTGTTTTTCTACACCTTGGTCCTCTTCTTACTTTCCATAAAAAGTAATAAAGGAGCTTACAGCCCTCACACTTAGTGTCAAAGTGTTAAGAAAAACAACTAAGTGTAACTTCTCTATAAGTATAAAAAGTTCGGAAACTAGTCCATAGATCCAAAATATAAGTAGCTAAAATCACCATCCTGGATAAAACACATAATGGGACCTGAAGATGGGAAGACTGAGCAGCCCAGGCCTTCTAAGGCAGACAGGAAACAGGTGGGGAGAACACAACTGACCACCATGTCCATCTTTGCAGTTCTTTGCTTATATTCCAAGATGTTCCCCAAACACAAGAAGCCTACCCCACTCCAAGACAGGAACTCGGAGTTGAGATGGGATGAGTTTTTAAACAGGAGTAATAGATAGCATTTGGTCCAAGCAGCAAGAATGTATCAGTAATGAAGCCTTGGTAGAGGTTGCACTGGGGAAGAATTGAAGAAACAGGAGCTGGGTGTCGAGACTCTGGGGATGAGCCTGGGATCAGATTATGTGCAAATGGAAAAACAGGAAGATCTAGTCTCAGGATAACAGAGAATTAAAAGGTAATACGCTTGCCTGCCTACTCTACTAGTACCCCCCCCCCAAAAAAAAACTAACAAGGAAAGTAAAAAATAATCCAGGAACTTGCCCGCCCCTTATAAACTACAGCCTGAATACCCCAAAGTGCTTGCAGTTTGGGAAGGATTCAGGCTCTGAATTGGTGACAGATTTTTACTTAAAAACATAAGAGGAGCAAAACGGAAGTGTTAAACTCGTGTTTCAGTTTCCTTTATCATTCCTCCTAACATGTCTGCCCCAAACCACAGAACGATACAGCAACTCAGCTCGTTAACAACAGACCACTAAGCAATGCCTACGAAATCTTTTCATTAGCCACCTCCAATTCCTTTTAGAATAAAGGAAGGTCTAAATAAATTCAGTGTAAAACCTCCCGGCTAAGAGTCTTGTTAAACATTTGAGTGTGGTACCCTAGCAATCTGCTGGCCCTGTGAAAAAGTTTGAGAAAAATGTCTAGCAGAGGAATCAGCAGGGGATGGGAGACCTAGTGCTCTGGCAGGTCAAAGACTCTAGCTCACACTAAAGAGGAAATGACTTACCAGGGAGGCTGTCAGGGTACCGAGTTTCTCTCTCTCTCCCTGGAGGCTGCTGTAAGGCAACTCAGCACTCAACTGCACAAGTGTTAAGCATATGCATATGCCACACCCCTTAGGTGAGCTCTTCCTGCTCAGGGCTTCTATAGCTCCTCCTCAAACAAGGAAAACAATCCCCAAGGGCTTCCTTAGAGTGAGGTAAGCTAGATAACAGCTTTGACTGACATGAACACTTGTCAATGCAATGCAACTCTCCTCAGTACTTGGGGTGCTGTAGGCACTCCATGTAGGATAAGGAAAGTTCCAGAACACACCATGCCCTGCAGGTGGCTCAGGAGGCATCTTGGGATTGCATAGCCATAAAGAGATCACTGTGATTCCTGTGTATAAGCAAAGATTGGTAACTATGCACCTGTTCAGTAGAGTTGGGGAAGATGACACACCAACACTGAGACTCATACATACAGCAGCCTGGCCTCTAAGGGAGCCGTGACAAGCTGCAGAAAAGAGAAACAACAGTTCAGAGCCAGAAGACCTACTCAGGCTGGACTGCCCAGCCTTCAGGCCACTGAGGAAAGACTAGGACTTCTATGGCAAGGAAGAACAGGCATTGTTTTCAGTGGATGTGAGGTCCCTCTGTAACTGACTTACAGGCTTCATGACCCTAGCCCTTGCCACCACACGCTGCTGCCGCAGATGCAGATGCTGTGCATGCGTCCCTTGCTCTTTGCTGTTTATCATCACTAGGAAAAGCAGGCACCTTGTTGTAGGGAAATTTTCAAAGAAGGAGCAGGCAGGTACAAAGACAGCTAATAACAAACTTGCTTGGGTTATGATCAATGTGAAGATAAATAAAAGCCCAAGAGATGTCAGTTTGGAGCCACCTGAAAGAGCAGACAAGGATCTGAGAGCGGAAAAAAGGTTCAGCACCCACTCCAAGAAATTGGGTTAGGTCTTCTCACTGACCCTTGAGACTTAAAACTTCCCCAAGAGGAAGTTGCTGCAAAGCTGAGTGGAGAGCCATCAGAGCCAATGCAGCATCAACAGGATCCCTTGAGTTAAGCTTTCCTAAAACTGTTCACCTTTTACATAACATGATGAAATAAACGCCAGGCAGGCCTTTAAATAAGATGTCTGCTAAGGCTGGCAGTGGTGGCGCACACCTTTAATCCCAGTACTCAGGAGGCAGAGGCAGGGGTCTCTGTGAGTTTGTGGACAGCCCGGTCCACAAAGAGAGTTCCAGGACAGTCAGGGCTGCTACACAGAGAAACCCTGTCTCGAAAAACAAAGATATCTGCTTAAGGCTCTGGCAGGCATGCTCATTCAATAAAAGAACAGAACTTTCATCCAGAGCTTTTCTATGTATTACAATAAACAAGAAATCAAGTAAAATTGATGTGGCTGTCTTATATGAACAAGGTCTTTCAAAATGCAAACTTATTCCATTTGTCCCTAGTAGGAACCTGAGTCAAGTATCGTCTGGTGTGACGAGAACAGCACAGAAGGTGATTAACGTATCTCAGGCTGCACACTGAACAGGAAAGTCGGAGCTAGACCACAACTTTTACTGCTCCCCAAACTCAAGCTGTTTCTGTTCTTTCCATGTGGGTTCAAGACCTCAGCTTCCTTACTTGGGAAAAAGGCAGAGAGATAATTTAGGAAGTTATCTAGCCATTTCCTACTCCAGCTCCTTCTCTACCCCTCCCTTAAAGTCTTATTCTGTTAATAGATTCCCAAAACCAAGCAGTCTGCCTCTGCCAGAGTGAGTAATCTATTTCAGTCAGTCCAGACTGGTCTGAAATCCTATTAGCTCACTAGTAGAAAGGCCTTTAAAGGCACCTAATCCAACAGCCCTGCAGCCCGATTTCCTTGCATGTTCTCCTTGACCTCACCTCACCTCACCGATCTGAGCTCACAATTGCAAGCACTCAAATCCTTTCCCAGCTATCTGCTGTAGCCTCAGTGAGGGACAAGCTAGGGACAGATCTGCCCCTTGACAGAGGGAGGGAGAGGTGATGCTTCCTGTGTACCACCAAGAATAAGGGTTCGTTTTCATCAGTGCACAGGAGGTGCCCTGACTTCAGACATGGCTGCCTTCCCAGACTGTCCCCATTCCCATCTCCTGCACAGCAACAGCATGGCACCAAGTGAGAAAGGAGGAAGAACCTTACCTTTCTTTTCTTCTCTCAGTTGCTCCCCTGGAGATCATCAAGCCCCCCACTTAAAACTCCATTTTCAAAACTGAATCAGATCAGCCAAAGTACAGCTTCTCTCCACTTATCCAGGTCCAAAGTCCATGGCCGGGTGGACCCTGACCGGGAGGAGTCTGGGGGGGAAGGGGTGTGTCCAGGCCCCTCCCCCCCCACTGCTGATTTCCGTGTCCCTCCCAGGCGGTTATGGCATCCCTTCATCCAGCTGGCTTCTAAAGCTCAGAGGCTCGTGGTAGGCAGATTCCAGGTATTATGCCATCTCTTGCTCAGGTAAGAGAAATCATCCACTGGTCCACTTGTGTTCTGCTGGGGCTCAGAAGAAGAAACAGGCTTTAACATCGACATGGCCCAGGTGGCTTTCTCTGGGAACCTGTGGAACATTTAAATATTATGATACTCTCCAATCTAATAATGCCCACGTGGATTTCTGAGACCTCCATGTTGACTATAGTCCTTTACCGTGTTCAGCCAACAAACGCTCTTCCTTAACGACTCCACACAATTTGCACAAAAAGTACATACTTCATACACAAACTGTATCCCCATCATTCTGAGCATGCGTGTATGTGTGCTTGGGTCCTAACTTCTCAGTACAGAAATGCAACCAAAAGTACTGTCAGTGTGGAAAGACGGTCCTCTAAAAAATACAGAAAATAAGGTCCCACGCTCTAAAACACCACTCACTAATCCTATCTCTCAAGCTTCTCCAGGGGTTCAGTGTTTTAATCTCCTACCTCCTGTCAATGGGGACTGAATCCTACCCAGACCTAGATGCTGGCACCTTCCACATGCATCCCCTGCAACCCTCACCTCCCCCACCGCTTCCGAAACTATGCCAAGGATGTAATTCCCAATTTCTTTCAAACTCCTTCCCAGGGCCACTCCCGAGAGCACTCTCCTGGACTATCAGAGGCCTCAGTCCTGCTGGCAGAAGCCCCAATTTCTCAGTCTGGGAGCCCTCCTTGGTGCCCCTACCCTCTGTGAGTTTTACAGACAGACGGACACACGGACACACGCGCGCGCACAGGCACGCACCCCTCTTCCTGTAGGGGCGTGGCGGACACAGGACACCCCCCGCTAAGAACTTAACTCCTCCTACCCTTCCCTTCCGAACCCGGCGCTGGGCGCTCGGCGTTCCCACGGCGCGGTGACACGGAGACCCTCCCAGCACTCCGAACCCTCGCTTCCGCCGCGCCTGCGACTCGGTCCCTCGGCGCGCGGGCTCCTTACCTGGACCCCGCCCATCCGATCCCGGCTGGGAGCCTTGGCCCTCCCAGCTCCAGCTCCAGGCCGGGGCCGGGTCCCAGCCGCCAGCAGGCCCCACCCCCTCGACCCCCTGTGGCCCGGCCCTCCCCTCGCGCTCCTCTCCCCCCTCCCGCCAGGCACCGCAGCCACTTCCGCCCGTCCTCCGGAAGTAGGTCCCGGGCAACCGCTGCCTCCTCACATCCCGCCCATTGGCCTGGCCCTCGCCGGCCCATCATCACCGCCGACGCCGCCACGGGAGCACGGGAGGTGGGTCTGCACGCTTGAGCCAGTTCTACAGTGTTGGCGAGGGAGGACGAGGCGTTGGAGAAGCACCCAGTGAGGACATAGCCGGGGCCTCGGGGCGGGAGCCGTACGCCGGGGGGCGGGGCGGAGGCTGAGGCCTAGAGCCGGAGCGTGCGTCACTCCGAGCGGCGCGGGAAGTAGCGCGCATGCGCCGCCGGGCTTCGGCCAGTCGCGCAAGTTGACGCTCCGACGGCCCGAGGGGGAGGGAACTTGGGCGGGAAGTGGAGGCGGAACCTGCGCAGGCTGCCCTGCCTCTATCCCACCGCCGGAAGGTCGCCTAGCAACGGCCTGGTTGAAGTGGCTTATGCCAAGTAAACCACAGGCCTGTTAGCACAAACCTGTTACCGAGCTGAATTTCCTGGGTAGCAGTGCCAGAAAAAGTTTTATTTCATGTATCGCTATTTCCCACTGCATCGCTGACTGAGGTAGGACCTTCCCGAGAGGATGGAAAGCTCCCGGTTACTGTTTATTGAACACGCCCTATGCCGAGCTCTTTATAACTAGTAACCGAATATCCACAGGTCGGAACCCCAGCTACGGTCTCCTACAGCGACAGAAACATAACGGAGGTTGCAGACTTGTTAGAGCCTACCCCAGTCTTACAGTTAGGGTAACTAACCAAATCTGTGACACTTGTTCACATGATCTTGCCTCTATCAAGTGCCACCTGTTTTAAAAGAACCACTTGAGGCTGGAGATAGGGCTCAGAGGACTTGAATTCAGTTATCAGCACCCACATGGTGCCTTAAAATCATCTGTGACTCCTGTTGTAGGGGATCGCTTACCCTCTTTTCACCTTTGGGCCACCAGTCATGCATGTATGTGTGTATATTACACTTCTATGCATTCAGACAAAACATTCACACACATAAATTAAAAATCGTTTTAAATAAACTATTCTTTGAAGTACCAGACTTAGAGTTTCAGATTGTACTGCTTATTTTTCCGGATACAAAATACCCTTTAATCTCAGGAGTCTGGTTTTTGTTTTATTCCATTGTTGTCAACAATCAACTGTGATATGTGGAAAAGTTACTAGAACTTTTTGTACCTCTATTTTCTCATATTTACAATAAGAATAATGAAAGTCCTTTACCTTATTCAGTTAGTGTGAGTATTAGTGTGAGAAATACATCCTTTGCTTCAAGTACAACCATACTCAACTGGGAATAGTTGTGCTTTTTAAATTCCAAACTGGTTCTGCTTCTCAAGTTCAAGAGCTTGATTCAGATTCCAGTGACCAATGCATCATGTACCCTGACCAAATCCCTTCCCTCTGCCTCTCTAAAACATCAGAACTTTGGAGAAAACGATGTCTGTAGTGATATTTTGTTTGTGATCTAACAAATAAAGTTTGCCTGAAGATCAGAGTGCAGAGCTAAACCACTAGTTAACTAGTGTGTGGCACACACCTTTAATCCCAGCACTTGGGAGACTAAGGCAGGTGGATCTCTGAGTTCAAGGTCACCCTGGGTGACCTGAGATTGAAACTGTCTAAAAGAGAAACAGCTTACATAAAGGTGATCCCAGCACTTGGGATCCCATGCCTTTAGTCCCAGCACCAGGGAGTTTGAGACAGGAGTGATATAGCTGGGTGGAAAGAGGAATATAAGGTAGGAGGAGACAGGAGTTGAGATGCAGTCTGAGGTTTTGTAGAGACAGGATCATCCCTTTTGTCTGAGCATTGGTAGAGGTAAGAACTCTATAGTGGCTGCCTGCCTGCTTCTCTGATCCTTCAGCTTTTACTCCGATATCTGGCTCCAGGTATTATTAAGACCAATTAGAGTTCATGCTACAAATGTCAACTAACTTACAATGTTGTAATTCCTTTGTCTATTTTGAAGTGTTTCTTTAACACTAGAATAACCATTTTTACTTACTGAAAACTTTTAAGTGGTTATTGTTTTAAATAATAATGTTTATTAAGGATATAGAGAAATTCATCTGCTCACCTTCCCCAGGGCAATCTCTGTTCTTTGCTAGATGTGTGACACATTGTTTTTATCCGTACTGTGAGACAAATATGTTGACCATATCGTCCCTCTCAGACCAAACACTAAACTCCTTCAGAACAATGGAAAAGTGTAAAAGTGGCTCAGCAGTCCAGTTTGTGGGGTGAGGAGACCACAGGCTTCATAACACTTCAATCTACCAACGTGTCTGCCACTTTACAGTGTTCTCACTGATAAGTGACGTGTGTGTGTGTGTGAGAGAGAGAGAGAGAGAGAGAGAGAGAGAGAGAGTCCAAGACCACTGATTTAGTCCTAGGAACTGGTCAAGAGCTGGCATTTTCAGATGACTGACCCTGCTAAAAAAGTCAAACCATTTGAGATCATGATTAGGCTTAGCAAGCTTCTTTGCTTGCATTCTGACATGTTTTGGGCTTTTTTGTTTTGAGTGGTTGAGGAACATCTGGGATTTCAGTAGAGAGCTGGCTAATAGATAAAATGGATCGGAGCTCCTCAGCTGCAGCTGGAGAAGACGGGGTGGGGCGGGGAGTACCTTTTCCAGGGTTTGTCAATATTGGGAACAAGTCAGGCAGTTTATCTCAGGGAAGAGCCCACAGACTGTTGACCTGAGGTGCCCAAAGACTTGAGACCCAGCTGCTTTCAGCCTTGGATGTCCCCTGTCTTCCATTTCATGAAGTTATCAAACTTTATTACCAACTTAAATGCCATTTTCCTTGAGGCTTCACTGTGTGGGTGATAATTTTTTCCCTTGCCTGTATTGAAATCCACCCAAAATAACGGACCCTGGTCTTATCTCTTTCTGCATTCCTCAGATCTACAATACCACAGTAACATCCAGAGAAGAGCTGGAAGAGTGAGCAGCCCTGGGTACAGAGGAGACTGGAGCAGGCATGGAAGAACCACTTCTGGTTCTGGTGATTCACTGTGTAGAAATTTTCCCAAGAAGAGGCTATGGAATCAAAACTGAGAAAGAGGAGGAGAAAAAAAAGTTATAAAATGCTGAAGATTTAACTTGGCAAGTTATGAGAAAAAAAAAAAACAACTGGATTTCTAGGCCGGAATTAAAATATGAGTGAGTTTTACTGCTTCCAATGAAATAAAAAATGCTATAAAATAGAATACAGCTAAAAAAACATGTTAGAAAGTCAGTTGCACATTGTAGAAATCTGAACCAAGAGGGCCAAGTTTGTAGAATAATGGAAAATAGAAAATAGGTGTTCCAGGAACAAAACAACATACATCATCCCATTAGAAAATGAGAGAATCTGGGGATGCAGGAGTCTATCCTGTACAGGAGGAGCTATGGCAAAGAGGATAAGAGCACACCTTAGTCGATGCAGCCTGGAGATCAAATGCTGCCATCAAAACCTCGTACCCCCTCTTTGTGCCCAGATGTCCTCACTTGCTGAATAGGAAAGTATACAAATTAAGACATGAAAGAGAGAACTTCAGGTCTTGGCTAGAAGTTAGAAGAAATGGAAGCTCAGTTAAAGAAAATGTTAATTCTAAAAGCAGATGAGATGTTAGAAAATATGGAAAGTCAGCTAAAATACTTAAAAATAAGTCCAGGCACAAAACAGCTGACTAAGAGATGGTGAAACCAAGTTACAGATACTTTGTACAACTTCAACAGAGCTCCATAGCCAGGACTTACTCAGACTTTTTCAAGACCCTCTATGTGACTGTTAGCCAGTATGCTGCTTCTCACAATTATATGTAGAACTGCAGACTGATAGATGTGCCCTGAAAGACTGGCCTAGCCTGTGGGGTTAGAAATCCTCCCCCCCAAAAAAAAAACCCCAAAAACATACTTCATCATTCCTTGCATTAGTTTTCCAAAAATTGCCACATGGTAACACTGCTGGTTAGTTTTTTGTTACCTTGGCACAACTTAGAGTCATCTGGGAAAAGAGAAACCTCGTTTGAGAAAATGTCCCTATCATGCTGGCCTGTAGACAAACCAACAGGCATTTTCTTGATTAGTGACTGATATGGGAGGACCCAGCCCACTGGGGGTGGTACCAACCTGAATAGGTAGGTGGGGTTTGGGTTGTATTAAAAAGCAAACTGAGCAAGTCAGTAAGTTGTATTTCTCCATGGCTTCTGTTTCAGTTCCTTTCTTGATAAGCTGAAATAAATCTTTTCCTCTCCAGGTTTCTTTGGTTGTGTTTATCACAGCAATAAAATGAAACTAGGGTTCAATCCGAGTATGGTGGCCCACACACCTATTAAGCATTTAGGAGGTGGAGGCAGATGGGTCTCTGAGTTCAAGGCCAGCCTCCTCTACAGAGTGAATTCTAGGTCAGCCAGAGACACACAGAGAAACCCTGCCTCGATAAACAAACAAATACATCTACAACTAGAACTGTATAGTGGCAGGAGGAGAAAGAATTGTAGGAGAGGGACCAGCAGGGAAGGCTGGGGGAAGGTACTGGTCCTGATTCCTGGATAACCACGACCACCACCAATTTTCATCTGATCTCTTCAGATGATAGGCCTTTGGCAAGGTTGTCATTACACCTGCCAGGGTTGGATCTGCAATAGCAGGTCAGTATCACAGGAAGCATAGTTGCTCTGCATTTCCCCAGTGGTTTGCCAGGAACAGTCACTGTCCATGTTCTGAGTTACATGGGATAATCAAAGAAAGGTCACTCTAGAATGTAATTCAGGCTCTGTGGCAGTGGGGAGGAACAGGCTTGATGAACCTCGAACTGCTGTGCAGAAGCATATCTGGTAATCGTTACACAAAAGTTGTTTTTTGGGTAAAACAAATTCCTCATACTAAAGCCCCTAATCTAACCTGTATGTCTTGGGAAGGAAAGCATCACACTCCTGCAGCTTTACTCATGCACTGTTTGCAGTATTCAAGTAATGCAAGACATTGAAGTGTGCCAGGACCATCTTGTGGCCAAAGTCAGACAAAGGCTGTGAAGCCTCAGAAAACAACTCTATAGATATAGAGAACAGTCACTGTTTCCTGCAGTTTATTCAAAGTCAAACTACTAGAAAACAACCCTTCCAATTCTTTCCCTACATACTAGATACGATTCTGCTGGAATTCCACTACCAGGAACTCTGTTCAGAAGTCCCAGTGCATTAACATTCCATGACCTTTGTTACACGGAAAGTCTCCTCCGTGAAGAGACTGCTACACAGGACCTTTGAGGGTTTCTACTCTTCAGCCATACTGTGAGGCCCTGGAAAGCTTGGTAGGGACTTCATTGTAGTTTTCCCTTTTTTCTGTTTTTCCTTCTCATTTGATTTCATAAGACTGTACCACTCACAATGTATTAGCATATAAACTATGTGTTCCAGTCTGTTTCTAGGCAAAGGTGCTTTCCCATGGAAACATGGCAGTTACTTTCCCAACCAAGCCTTAGTCATTACTCATCCCTTGTGGAAGATTTCAATTAGTGGTGTTTTTGCATGGTGCCTATGAAATGTTCTTGAAAAAAACTGTTAAACCCCAGTCTAATCAGACTTTTAGACTTTGTTTGAAGGGTGATACTACTTAAGCGAATGACACTGGAAAGCAATAGATAAGCCAAGAATGTGCAGCCTTCAAGTTAGCTACCCAAATTTCTCAAGTCTATGCCACATGTCAAAACCATATAGAAGGAAATGTGGGGAAGATTTTCCAGATTAGCCATCAGGTGGAACCCTCAAACCCTGATTGCATCATAGATTAAAGTTCCACAAAAATCTTCAGGAGACAATTAGAAAATTTTAAAAATGACTTAGAGGGCCTGGAGAGATGGCTCAGAAGGTAGGGAAGCATGTCACCATGTCTGACAATCTTGAGTTGAAGTCTTGGAACCTACGTAGAGGAAAGAAAGAACGCCTTTAATCCTAGCACTCGGGAGGCTGAGGCAGGCGGATCTCTGTCAGTTCAAGGTCAGCCTGGTCTACAAGAGCTTGTTCTAGGACAGGCACCAAAGCTACAGAACCAATTTCCTCAGTTTGTCCTTTAACATGCTCACATGCACTATGGCATAAGTGCTATGTACCATCACATAAATTTAGTTTTTAATGACTTGTATATTAGTTGTGATTACCAATAGAATAATTGCTAAGTTCCTTTAATGTAATAAGAGTAAATTCTATAAAAGATTGTCTTTATTAGGTGGTTTATTATGAAGGATTTTTAGCAATCTTTGTGCTTTTTCTACTATATTTTTTAGAAATATTAATATCCATGTGCTTCTGGAAAAGAAAATTCAAATTTTGTAAGATGTTGGCACATTGAATGTAAGTTGAAGGCATTTATAGTTCCAGTGTGTTGATACCTTAGTGTTTAATACTTTTCATAAGGAATTAAGAGAAAACTGGGTCAAAGTTAGAATATATTCCTATTTGAAGAAATGTGTTAATCATCTTATTTTCTTCAGCCAGTTTCATGTTAGCAGCCAATACGTGATCAGAGGCTAATTCATACACCTGAAAGTGGATATTCACACCCAAGTTGCTATGCTCTCAAGAGCTTTTTACTTTTTCTGTCTCTAGCAATTAATCAAGTAGGGGAAAAAAAATCAATGTCATTTCTACTACCCAAATTCTTGTTGGCAGAATAATCAGCAAGTAGTTCAGAGAGCTGCTTCCCATAAAAAGCTGCATTCGGTTTGCATAAGTTAGAGACAGTGAAGCTCTCTAGAGAAATTATCCTTTAGAAGTAGATTTCAGTTGATGATGCAGGCCTCTTAGTGACAGACAGACATGAAGTAAGTACTATTTTCAAATGCACTTATTTCAGGCTTACAATGTTAGCACCACTTTACTCAATGTGAAGACCTTCCAACCTGGTTTATTAATGTTTTGTTTTGACCTAGTTTTCCATCATTTTTCTGGCCTTAATCCCCAAATGCCTCCAGGCAAATGCGCTCCTGATTCATCACCGCACATTTGACTGACCAGTCTATCCTTTCCCCACTAAACGTGGAAAGCAGGTTTACATTGCAGTCATGCAACCGATCTGGCCACCTATGCTCCGAACTCCTAAATGAACTTCTCCAAGTAGAGTTGCTTGCTTTGTCCTGGGAGCAGCTTCTTTCATGTCTGTAAAATACTTATGCTTCACAAGTGTTTGTTCTTCCCATCAAAGGCCAAGCTTGTGGCAACCAGCACCCAAATCTTAGTGGCTGATAAAGAAACTAGCTTTCCCACATGTCATCAAAGGCACACTGCTCCAGTCTGTGGACCAATTTAGAGTTGTGTCCTTTGCCTCTGATGCTTTTTACTAATGGCTACCCAACTGAGACTCAACTCACGAAGGATGGCAGCAGTGCCAGTGGGAGAAGAAACAAAATCCTTGAATCACCTCAAGATCTCAGCCCAAAACTGACACACTATCATTTTTGCTCACACTCCATTGGCCAGAGCCTAGCCTCAGCGAAATGAGGGCATATGCTCCATCCTGGTGAATCTTGTGAAAGGCAGGTAGAAAAAGAACTGTAGAAATATACCTTAGCTTCCTTTGAGCTTCATATATACTTGCAACTAAGTACTGGCTAAGAGAATATGAGAAAATGTGATATACCACCTCTTGCCCTTGCTGGTCTAGGACCTACCTTTCCATGCATGCTAGCTGGGAACGCGGTGGAGCTAGAGATACTGGTGGAGTGGCTGTCTTGTCAACCCTACCCTGGCATGCTACAAGTATCCTATGCATACTTACAGAGTTTTGCATTTCAGTTACAGAGCCTTAGAACCACATTAGTGTATAATTCATCATTCAGCAACTATTCACTAGAGGTCTTCTTTGTGCTATGTGGATCATGCTTGGCCTTGGGAAAATGACAGTGGGCAAAACCTTACTTGGCTGTTTTGTATCTTGAATGACATAAATCTTGGCATGAATACGTTGTATAGAACTTATAAAGTTGTATGGAACTAAATGTAGAATAATGCAAGAAAAAACAGACAAACAATATACAAGATCTTTGGGCTGTGACAATTTTAACGTCATAGTTGTGACAGTATTCTATGATTTTATAAGATGTTACAAAAGAGAAATAGGTGAAAGGGTAACAGGATCTCTGAAGTCTCGCAGCTCCCTACATGTGAATCTATATAAGCTCAAACTCAAGTAAAAAACAAAAATCAAAACAAAACAAAAACCCGTCAAGTCCTTGGTTTCATGCTTATGGCCTAATTACAAGACTACGTTACAACTAAGAAATCCAAAAGGTTATTTATGATAACTTTGACTGGTAACAACCCAACTTAACCCATCCAATTAACAGCAATACCCTGATATAGCAGAGAGATTGCAGGCAAGAACACATAGCCTGAAGCAAGAGTGGTACAAAATACTTTTCTCTTTAAATAAACATCCACATAATTTATCACCCAGCCAGAAACACTTGAAAATAATCAAACTGGAACAAGCTGTATAATGAATTATGTTGGTCACTCTACCTTTAATTCATTGTGGTGTTCTTTGTAATAGCAACCTCACCTTTTCTGACTAGTAGCATAGAGGTCAGTGGATGTTTTATAAGCCAAGGTAGGATATACAAGCTTCAGCAACTTAATGCTTATTGGCCCCAAATACTAATTTCTTGCTCGGCAAAAGATAATATGGTGTTTTTGTTCCCCTCTGTCCTGTGTTCAACTCATTTTGATTGCAACCCCCTGGGTTGTTAAAAACTAGAAGAGAAAACAGAAAGGGAACATGATCTTATGGCCAATCCACTGGCCTCAACAAGGCAGGCCTCCATCCTGTCCTTCAGGTAATGTTCACAGGTGAGCAGGCCCAGGGCAGCAGCTAAAGGGCCTCTTGAGGCCATC